TAATTTGGTAATTTGCCAACTGTCAATTTGATTAATTGACAAAGTGACCTGCATCAATGTTGCTCACGATAAACCCACTCATCTCTATGTGACTGGGTATGGGAACTGTGGATAGTCGTAACAACACGCTCAGCAGTCAAAGGCGATATCCCAAATGTTACTTTAAGTATTTTGGCCTACTCTCACTCTGAGATTTAAAGTACGTTGGCGGACAAACAGACCACATATTAACAGACTGCTAGGACTCTAGTCTCTGCAACTTAGAGTTCATTCTCCTCTTCAAATTCGTCAAATCCGGTGCTAATGTATGCCTTGTCTGTCTGCTGAACAACTACACAGATATATGGTGTAATCCCAAACATTCCTAGATGAAATTTCACAATTTTGCCACAGGGGGTCTAGTTCCAATAATTTAAACTTTGCCATATCACCTGGTGTGAGCCAAAGTTATAATATCCTAGTGTCTTTCACTTTGGGTGAAATGACCCATGCTGATTCCAGTGCTTTATCTACGCATGCCACGCAGCGCATGCCGACGCTGACATAAGCTATAGTACGAAATGAAGCCAGTTGCTAACCCGTTATGACTTGACTAACGTGTGCCAAATTTTTGTAAACATTTGTCCGATAACGCACTCGAGGCTGATCACAGATCATGACCGACCTTCACTCCATGGCGAAGGGAATCTTTGAATGTGAATAATCTGTTACATTGCACCATATGTACAATATAACGTTATAGCACCAAGTGTGATTGGCGCATTTTCAATTAACTGACGGTTTTTAAAATTCAAATTTTTGTTAATTTAACACAAAGTAAAGGAAAGCTAAGGACAATAGAACGAGACTAAGGTTACTCAGCATACAGTTGTTTAAGCTTATCAATAAAAAGAACGGTGTCACTAAATATTATGAGGTATTTTGAGCAGTAAACGTTCAAGAACAGTAATGTCTGATATAATTTGTTTAATTCTGCTTCTATAATTGTAGTGTTTACTCAATTTCTCGCTTGCATCTTTTGCTATGCTCCCTACACCGCGCACCGATAACGCACTTCCCGTCCTATTGAGTATATTAACTGAAAAGGTTACGCAAAGTTAATTTCACTTATATCGAAATATTATCATTTGCTTGGCCTGTTATGAAAACTGATTTTTGCTTTTCCCGTTCTGAATATATGTATGGAGATGTACACTTTCCTATTGAATGCAGTTCCAAATGAGGTGTGACAAAATTGTTTGAAATCACGCTAGCTATGTTGCTTGTGTGCGTTCGGTGTCTCGGTGGGTAACACATTCGCATAGGTACTTTAAGTTTGACTCGTTTGCTGGGTGAACACTGGTAATAAATACATTTGTGAATATCCTTTTCTACGTCGTCTTCCTGTTTGGATAAGGCACAGTTGGCTAATTTGTGATGCATTCTCGGAGGTACACTGGCCTGTTGTTTGTGCTCCATAAATCGCGTGAATGAATTTGTTTCGACGGGGCCATGTGAGCTGGCGATTGGCCGTTTTATGTAACAAAATCTACAGCGTAAGGGAGCGGTTTCCATGCCTTCCAACAAATCCTCTGATGCATTCTTTGGGTTTTTGTTAAACGGATTTTTCAGTTGGTGGGTACAGGAGCGAGGTATCCAGAAGGAGCAGATGACAATTTGCATCCCGATTAAAGTTAACAGTGCTAATGAGCCGGGTAGAAGAAGAAATCGATAACTCCTCCACATTTCGTGTCTAAGGTGCGCGTCTGTGCTATGTAGATTAGGTTCTTGGGCTTGATTTTGTTGACTGACATTGCCCAATATTGTTCCACTATTTGCATAATCTAGAATGCAGAATCCGAGAAGTGTGTGGTCAAACAAACCTATATAATAAAATATGCAGAATATATTAAATTACTTCGAAAGGCTTTCGAAGGTATTTTAATGCTTTCTTTAAATGTAATGCCACTCTAGCAGTATATCTGAGAAAAACAGGCAGTTATTCAATTAGTCCTTTCAAAATAAATTTCAGTTATATTGGCAAAACATAATTTGAAGTAGCAAATCCCACGCAAAACTTGTTCACTGGAAGTAAAATTGTTTTCGGTTTTATAGATATCTCTATGTGAGTATGATCGTTGTGCCTTCATAGACCCAACCCTATTACAAGTTTTCTAAAACACTTAGTTTGTATCCACTTGGGTGACGTCCTCGGTCGCAGATGCCAGACGATTAATACATTGTGAAATGGCTGTGACAGACCCACCTTCCTTCTCTATAGACGTTTGCTGACTGCATTTTAGATACATGGCGGATGCGCGTAGGAACGCAGACAACAGCCTTTTGAATATATGTTTAGCTGCGAACAAGTTAAACAGCAGCCAGGTGAATATATTCTCCTTAGTTGCCTTCAACGCTTGCTCCATCTCCATTTCTCGCTACAGTTCGCTGATGTCCATTCACCACTAGCACTCGTACAAGCCCAATCTCTACAGCGACCAGCAAAGAGGTCCTGGTTTTCGTTTCGAAGTATACTTAAGCTGCTTACATTCATTTACTCGGACTACACTGAGAGCAGATCAGTAAAACGTAGACATTCGGAAAGCCACGCTGCGTTGCGTTGCCGAAGATGCAGAGAGCAAGCTGTTCCTTTTATCTGTCTAGTTTAGTGTACACAATTGTGGTTTGCGATTTAGACTTTCTACAGTACGTCTGATGGAAGAGGGCCGATGAACGCATTCAGGAATGTGAAGGGCGGTTCATGAACTGACCGCGGCTCGCTAATGGTGAATGCCGGTCATTTACGATAGTTGTCCCCGCCATCAAAGGCTTAGCGGAATGGCGTGGGTGCGCGAGTGCAGACACATTAATTTCTCTCTAACCTTAGTGGTGAGGACATATAGCATCCTCCTCATACAAGTGGTTTAGTTTAGACATCAGCTGAATGCAAGCGTAAAACTGGTGAGATATAGGCCGGCACGCCGGCAGTTCGAGCGAGACAACTAAAGACAGCCACATGACACAGTCCGGCGATCGCTAGCTGTCAGCTAACCTCGCTGTGAATGCTGAGCGCGGAAGGTCGTAGCAAAACGTTCATTGGCCCTCTTCCATCGGACGTACTGTACTCTGCAATGGAACAAGATTTTACACGCAGGTGTATGACACCTTGCCAGCTGCAAGGATGGTTGTTCCTTCGCACAATAGTTACGCTGCTAACGGCTAATAGATGTCTGTATGCTTTTTGTCCAGTAACAGTAACAGAGAGCCCTTAGTCGTTCATTAACTGACGCAATCAATTTGAACATATTCTGTACCAACACGTAATTTATATATATCGATTACACGGTGCTGTGTGTGTATTTTATGGTTTATAATATCCGCAGATCAGCCTATAAAAGAACTTTAATAATTCATTTGATGTTTATGTCAATACGCATACAGTTTAAAAAATTTAAGGGTGTGGTCTGCATCCAGTTGCAAAGGCAACTCCTAGCTACTATCAGTCAGGGAATGCAGCACTATCAAACAAATGATTTTGTTTAATCTGTCGAACTGATGTTTGTCACCATATGGGTTGGCCAAATACAACATCAAGGGGCTCATTCTGACTAGTTAAATAACCCGGGTCTAACTGAACAGGAATGCGTTAACACGGTATCTATTTCTGTAGGGCAATGCGCTGTTAAAAGCTCCCAAGCTTCTGATCTAGTAACCCGGTCTAGAAGATCAGCGATTCCTCATGAACGATTCGAATTATCTGGCCCTGTAACATGTCGCACTGCACCTGCGGCATGCCACGCAGTTGGTGTTATTAGACTCCATCGAATGTTGTAGAACACGCGCATTAGTCAACAATGCTCCGAGATCAAGCGATGCCTATTGTTTGGCGGATATATCGATAATTAGATTGCTTAACCGGAAAGGAGTTCTAGATGCCATGTGAACCTGAATCACAACGGTGTTTAGTTTCTCCTTTTGATTCTCCGATGAGCATTTAAACACCTAAACGAAATTTGCTTGCTTTCTGTTTCATTAAATTTCCAAAGACGTGTATATGTCACCATTTACAAAGGAAAATCGGAGAAAAAAACATTATCTTAAAACGACAAACGTTGGTACTTGCACTCAAAAGTATGTGCATCATTAGATACTCAAATAATTACAGACAGGGATACAATAGACAGCAATATCAGTGCATATTTAAAAAAAGATTTAGCTGTGTACAATTTGACGACATGATGAATTCAAGTTGACTGTCGCTCAGATTTTCAAAATATATGCGAGAGAAGCAGAATTAGTGTACCGCAAAGGGTCAGAGTGCACTACAGTTAAATATCTATTAAAATAGCTTTTCTATTGTATATTACCATCTACTGTGCATTGTTTTTTCCTGCTTTGCAAATTACATATGCGTGATCAGGGTGTAATATTTCGACATATTTTATAACCTGAACAATGTCGCTGATAATATGCTTATGTTACCTTAACACTTACCTTCATTGTTTCCGCATTTGCTACTCTCGGATCTTTGGGTATCTGATGCCAATCTGGAGATCAATTTAAAGTTCATTTGCCGACAAAGCTGCGATTGACCTAAAGGTAATCCAAATGGAATATTTATAAAGCAAAGTTCATCAAATTTGGCAAAATCCAATGGTTTCATCCCTGTCCGAAATACCAATGAAGATGGTGATATTAACACGTGCACGGCATACATATTTAGGAACCCAAGTAGCTTGGTTTGGAATGTCTACATGTTACTTAGTTTTTCAAGAAAATCCATCCATAATGACATGAATACGAGTGACCTTTCCAAACCCATTCAGTGAAAATTGCTTATTTTGCAGAGACGATGGTTAAAAAGGATGAAGTTTATTCGTCAGTTGTAAGTTTCACCTATGTACAGTAAGCAATCTGTGTGGCTCGTTATTTTATGAGCATGCAAGTATTATGTGACTCAGTGCATAATTATCTGTTTGATAGGAAGCATAACACCGAACCTACAGTGGAAGTAGTTTTGCCATGGAAACTCACTATAAAAACGGCTTTCATGTTTTAATCCAAGAAACAAAACGTAGAGTTGAAAAACGAATTTCTTTGCTAATATGATACGTTAGATAGAAATTTGTTTGTGTCCCTTAGGTCAGCAAGTTAAGATATAGGTATTTCGGTTAAGGTATCCAGTAAGGAAAAAATGAATCATTTAATTACCTAAATGTGTGATGGTTTTCATCAATATGTTTAAAGATTTTGCCTCTGCAGTTTTGTGTTATGAGGAACAGATTGGCAAATTTAACATGTCTCATATATATGAATTGTACCGGTCCAACTTGCATAATAAAACCAAATGACCTCTAAAGGAATTTCTTTGTTTTTTATGAACTTACTACAACATAGTTCTAAACCATAATTATGATTATAAACAAAACTATTTACATAGCCCTAAAAATTCTGCATCGTATATAATACGCTTAAACTTGTATTCACTACGGTTTGTGAATTTATTTGGTGAAATTTGGTTACGTTATTAACTAGCTATATATTTTTAATTATCTCTGATGTCTTGAATTTTATAATTCTAATTAGCTCACTTCGATGTCTGTGGACAATTTATTCAGTTAGTCACACTGTTCTATTCAAATTTTGTTTAGTTGTGTACGTTCTGTTCTATTTGAATAATTAAAATTTCAACGTGGCTGATGACGGTTTAATTTTTTATACAAATTGGAATATGATATGCAGCACGTAGGCCGATGTACTCATAAATAGATAACAAATAACTAGTGTAATTGCTAATAATACAGGCGGTACGGACAGAGTATAGATGCAACTTATTGTTTATCTTTTTATGCATGCGCTTGCTTTCAAATTTTCTATAACTTCTATAAACAAAAGCATAAATAATTAGTCACACTTTTCCGTGAAACTTAATGCATGACATTAACTGCCTCGGAATACTGAATACTGGATATTGAGAATAGGGAGAGGAAGTAGATTAAAACCTGTGTTTGTAACTCATGGGTGGATTGAGCCGATGTGTCGATCACGTAGCTGGTTCCTGCGCAGCGGCAACATATTGCAGCTGCAATAATCTTATCTGGGTGCGTTACGCTCCCCAACCTGTAGTCAGCAAAGTGAGCATCAAGGAATCTCTTAAACTGCGAAATTGGGTTTGCCTCAACTAGCTTCTGCGGCATTTTGTCCAAATATCTCCCTACTACACGCTGGATGCATTACAGTATCCCTATTTGCTGAGATTGAGACGGCAGGCGCCTATGGCAAGCTAGACGTGTACAACCCTTACTAACTCGAGAGCCTGGATTTCAGTGTGGGATGTATCCGCAGTCTACTCGCCAGTCTTGATGACACGAAATCTGTCTTACACGATGGACTCCACTTGAAAATATTAAAGTCCATATCGGTCATCATCTCCCCTGCTTTGACGGCTCTGTCTAGCAGATCGCTGTGTGAGGGTACATGGCACAGCAAATGGAAATGTAAGTCTAGGCAATTCCAAATGAAGGTGAGGCATGGAATGTGAGTAAAATAAAGGCGCAAATCTAGGAGCACGATTCATATTATTTAATCAACTCACGTTTTATGGGGAGGAAAAGACCACAGGCATGCAAAGAGTCATAAAGTGGATACAGTTGCGCAATGATCCCCCTTTGTTTGCAGACGAATTGTTTTGAGTAATTTAGGTGAGGTACTTTTTGAACCAAATTTTAGTTATAATATTTTTAAGTAGCACTTACTCTTCATCAGCCGGAGTAGATGACGTTACAGATATGGCATGCACATCCTAGTTTTTCCATGCACACCCATGTAAAATAATGATTACACCAGAACGCATTTGAAGTGAGCACACCGAATGCTTCAAGCTGCAGAGTTTCATGGCATGAAAGATAACATTTTGTCTACGATAACATAGCTGAAGTGAAAATCTTCAACTTGTTTACTTTGCATACATGAGTATGTCGGCATTTTAAACTTGTAGAAGTTATGTGCTGGCGTTGCGTAGTTAAGCAGGGTTGGCAGTAGTCTTTCGTTTCATTCATCACATTTTGTGGGCTAAATTTCATCCACAGTAAGCGGTTGGCCCACTGTTGTACTAAGAAACCGTGAAGTTATTCTTGCTTTCGTTTCGTTTGAATGTCGTTTACAGCCATTTCACTATTTTCATGAATTTTGCCTTTATAAACTTTTGTTTGAATCTTTAAATGGATGATAGCTTGTTGATATATGATAGCTGCTTTTCTTCTTCAACCCTACATACCCGAGACACGCCCGAAGTCCCATTCAACTAGTTAATTATATGAGGATATGTCCGCTAACACAATCATAATTGTTAGTGCGCTAAATAACAGTTGACGATGGAAATTCATATTCAGTTTCACAGAACTCAGTAACGTATATTAGGTCAGACACAGTTAAATAAAAACGAGAGAGGATTGCTGTCGAAACGATGAGCTTTAGACCTACGCTATGATTGCGTTGACACGTTAAACCTGGCTTAATCAAACGGATGTTGCTGCTAAGATCAAAGATTCAGTAAATAACTTAATTTTCGGTGACATTTTTAACACCTGCGAAATTGCGAAGGCAGACACGTTATTTATCATTTAAATATACTCGAAGGATTTTGGGTTTGAATATTCAAAATAAATACCCAGGAAGAATATATGATGGCAGACTAAAGTACAATTTCATTTTTCTGGCTCAAAAGTTCCATTCCTTTTGGTCTGAGTCTGAACAACTGGAAAGACATATACAATGGAATATCATCTACATATCCCAGATGCTATTTTCTGTGTTATTCTTAGTTATTAGTTTGACAATGCAACACTCGGATTTTAAACTTTCGTGGCCGCAGTAAATGCGCCTGTCGTTTTTCATACCCTAACTGCGTTACGTTGTCCCTCTGTACGGTGGTCATGAATTAATAGCCATATGTTTTTGGTAAATTATCCTATGACCCATAGTGTCATACAGAAGGTCTTCGGCGAACGCGTCGTTTTGTAAGCCAATACGCCTTAAGCACAAAGAATATTTTTAATACAGTGCAAGCAGATCAAATATGCACTTCTGTTCACGAGGATTAAAAGTTGTAAATAACTTGTTAAAATAGTTAATAGCTCCGTAACTGCGAATAGCGGTCGCCGGTCGGTTATTTTGGCTGTGTCGACAAGATCATTTTGCGTTGCCTTTCTGCGTTCATCGAATGTATTTCGTAGAAATTGAGATACAATTCAGTTTCATTTCCGATTCTGAAATTTCCGACCGGAAATACTTGTGTTTTCGTCACTCGATTTCGGCGATATTGCTATCGCCATTTTCTCCGTCAATTGGCTGTCATCTTGTTTTCGGATTACTCACAATGCCGAAGCAGTCATCCTGTGGTACTTGCTCCAACCTAGTCGGATACCGTGCAAATGCCCTCACGTGTGTTTTGTGCGAAGTTAATTACCACATTTCATGTGTTTGATTATCAGTTGAGCATTTTCATCGTCTTCGCGAGATCCAACACGATTTCGTCCAAACTATATGTGAAAATTGCCGAAGTAAGATACAGCCAAAAGGGTAAAGCCGACGGGTAGGCGTCAGCGTTTCGTTGCGAACAGCTACGTGTTTTTGACCCAACAACCTAACCCGATGAGCCTTCAGGTTTCGGCTCAGTCGTCCTCCTCTACCCGTGCAAACTCACCGACACGAAGTCCAACCGTTGTGAGAAGCCCAGTTGCACCTGACCTAGAGTGCTTACCTTTGTTGTGTCCAAAGGACACTGATGTCCCAGCAGGTAAAAGTCTGAGTGCTGAAGACCAGTGGAAAGAACGAACGTACGAAGGGACGTTGGACGTTTAAGTTCTGTAAGTCAACAGTTAACCAAATCACGTGAGGCTGGTAGTATACTTCGCCCTGCAAGGTCAACCTCGTCCGACCAGAGGCGTTACAATCTCGTGATATTTCACGCACCGGATTCCAGTGATCCATCATCCCAAGTGCGCTACGATCACGATGTCGAGTTTTTACAGGGTCTAATTGATAGACTACTCGACGCTGGTGAGGACTCGGTAAAGTGAGGCAAATTACCCGTCTTGGAAAGCAAGATGATCAACAAAATCGGTCTATGAGGATCACTTTTGTGGACGAAGGCAGTCCAAGACTGATCATGTCCGCCTAAGTAGACTGAAAGGTTTGAAGATCCATGTTCGTCCAGACCTGGACCCAGTAGACAGGGAGCGGATCAAGTCTGCCATTATTGAGCTGAAAAAACGCACGGGTGAGGGGGAAACAAATCTTCGTATCTTAAATTTTCGGGTGTTTTCCAACAATCTGCGAATCAGGATAGACAGGCTGTTCACATTTCAAGCACCCCCGGCGGCTCCTGCTGCGGCCTGCGAGTAGCCTTCACAAACCTTCGCAGTGTTATGAATAAGCGCGATGACCATTGTTGTTTCGTTGCGTCTGAGCGGCCAGACGTAGTGGGACTCGCAGAGACATGGTTGCATGCAGAATTATAAACCCAAGAAATTGAACTCAACGGTTACTCGTGCTTCCGATGCGATAGACTAAAGAATGCCTACGGTGGTGTCTTACTTTACATCCGGTCTTCCCTGCGTGGGAGAGTTGTGAGCACCTACCGAAGTGACGATGGTTTGTGTGAGCTACAGTGGTGCTCCATCCGCCACAGGTGCGGAGAACTGCTTGTGGGCGCAG